CCTGAGCCAATCTCACTGTCTCTGACTCACCGACTTCCATTACCCCTGTTACGCTGTAAATCCAGCTCATCTGGAGTTGTCCTCTCCTGTGCTGTCCTTCCACTTTTCTAAGCATGATGTCCTTCTCCAAGGACTGGACCCTCCTGAAAACATGCCCAAAGTATGTCAGAAAGAGCTTCAAAATCCTTGCCACCGAGGAACAGTTTGGTTTTACCCTCTCCAGGACAGACTTGCTTGTTTTCTTGGAAGTCCATGGTATGTTTAGCATTCTTCTCTCACATCACAACTCAAAAGCATTGATCTTTCTTCTGTCATCCTTAGTCACTGTCCTTAGTCATCAGTCATCCTTAGTCATCAGCTTAGCTTGCTGATGCACAGCAAGTAATTGTGAAGACCATGGTTTCAATAAGGCATACCTTAGTCTCTAGACTTATATCATAGCTCCTCAGTACTTTGAAGAGGTCAGTCACAGCAGATTTTCCCAATGCCATTCATCTTCTGATTTCCTGCTTGCTGGTATCAAGAGTATTTATTGATTGTGGAGCCAAGCAAACTGATGCTATTAACAAACTTAGTCTCTTCTTCATCTATCATGATGATGCCAGTTGGTCTACTGGTGAGAATCTGTTTTCTTGATGTTGCACTTCAGTTCTTATTAAAAGCTTCAGTCCTTGACCTTCTGTAGCAAATGCCTCAGGTCCTCCTCAGTTTCAGCAAGCAAGGTTGTGCCGTCTGCATAACACAGATTGTTGATGAGTCTTCCTGTAGTCCTGATACCACAAGTACAGCCTCCTGAATGATCTGTTCTGCATATATTTTGAAAAGGTATGGACATAAGATGCATCCTGGATGTATATCTTTTCTGATTTTGAATCAATGTTTCCTTGCTCTTTTCTGATGACTGTTTCCTGGTCCAAGTATAAATTTCACTTGAGCACAAGTGTTCTAGGATTCCCATAGCGACAATTTGTTGTAATCCACACAGTTAAATGTCTTGCATAGTCAATGAAACACAGATAGACATTCCTCTGGTACTCTCTGCTTTCAGCTAAGATCCATCTAACATTGGCTGTAATGTCCCTGGTGCCACAGCCTCTTCTAAACCCTCCTTATACATCTGGCAATTCTCTATTGATGTACTGTTCCAATAGTTTTTTTTATATCTTCAGTAGGATCTTGCTTGTGTGTGTTATTAGTTACTAGCGATATTGCTCGATAATTTCTCATCTCTGATGGGTCACCTTTTTTTGGAATGGGAATAAATATGGATCTCTTCTGATCAGTTGGCTAGGTATTTGTCCTCCAGATTTTTTACCATAACCTACTGAGTGCTTCCAGGGATGCATCAGTTTTGTTGAAATACGTTAATCGGTATTCCATCAATTCCTGGGGCCTTGATTTTTGCACATTGCCACAGAATAGCTTGAACTTTCTCCTTCATCACCATTACTTCTTGATCATAAGCTGTTTCATGAAATTCTTCTTTATCAGCCAATTCTTTTTGTACAGTAGCTCTGTGTACTTCTTCTACCTTCTTTTGATGCTTCCTTGATCATTCAACATTCTGCCCATAGCATTCTTAAGTACTGCAACTTGACGCTTGAATTTGTTCTTCAATTCCTGCAGCTTACGAAATCCTGAGCGAGTTCATCCTTTTTGATTTTCTAACTCCAGGTCTTTGCACATTTCATTATAATACTTTGCTTTGTCTTCCCAAGCTTTCCTTTGAAATCTTCTGTTCGGCTCCTTAACTTTTTGATTTCTTCCTTTTGTTTTGGCTTCTCATTGCTTCAGTGCAATATTCAGGGTCTCTTCTGACATCCTTCTTGGTCTTGTCTTCTTCCTCTCTCTTTGTAATGACTTTTTTCATTGTTGATATTCTCCCACAGCTCACCTGGTCTTCACTCCTTAGTGTTCAAGGCCTCAAACCTGTTTCTGAGATGGTTTTTAAATTCAGGTGGTACCTTATATACTGAGTAGCTGGGTCTCTTGGTGTCTGAAGAGCTCACTGCCTCTGTCCTTGCTCTCTTTTAACTCCTGCTCTGATTCCTGTGGCAACTCCAAGGACTGGAATCAATGAGAGTTTTCCCAGATATGATGAGATGGGAGGGAGAGAAACAGGTGCTGAATGGGCCTCCCTGAAGTTCCGCATAGACGGCTTCAGTAAAGTGTAAATGGGGTAGTCAGGCTGGCTCTGATAATCTATGGCAAGTTTTGCCTTTGTACTATTCTGTATGCCTCCCTTACTGGCCATGGTGGCCAAGTCCAAGAGATCTTCTCCAAAGTGGTTGGAGAGTATCAATTGTGGTCTGAAGGAGTCCTGTGAAAAAGGTCTAGTTGAAAAGAAAAGAAAGATGCCTGCCCATCCAGACCTTGTGTTTTGAGACTTTCATAAGTCCCACCCACCAGTTCCAGAAGCTATCTGCCCCATGAAGGTAAACAATCATTGTCTCCTGCCACTGGCCACCAGACCTCTGCACCAACATAGGGGTCAAAATGCCATGTCCTGCTCTACTCTGAGGTCCATGGCGCTTTCTGCTGGGTGGTAGGTAAAAGGTGTCATTCACCTGGCATGCCACTCAGCTAAGGGAAGTGGGGCTTCCCATTGTTTACAGTGGGACACTGGCCAGAGTTGCCTACTGAGGTTGTGGGGAGTTGCATGAGACCTGTAGTTACAGGAAGCCTGTTCTGAGCCTGATGGGCAGTGACTGCCATGTGAAGATGAACTGAATCCTGCTTCCTGATGGAAGGTTGGTCTTTCCATTTTGGGTCTACACAGAAGCCTATGGTAAGGTTTTGCCCTGATGAACATTTGAGGGACAATGCCGCTGCTTAGGCTATGCCCTGTCTTTTTCAGGTGGCCAAAGTTGCAGGCAGGATGTCGGGTCTGGACATAAGGAACTTCCCCTGCCAGCATTCATTAAGAGAATGTACCTAAAAGTTGCATTGATGTCAAACATCATGGCCTTTCATGGAAGTGAAACATCCTGAAACTGACACTATGTAGTTTATCATGGAAATTGGTAGACGGGTAAGGAGGTGGAAGGGGCTTGATAGGAGTATATGGCTGGCCGAATGAGAAAAGAACAGGTCTGTGGTATGTGTGGGCCACTCTTCTTAACCCAGAGGACAACAAGGAGACTTCTAAGTCAAATGCCTGATGCTCAGTGTGGGGAATTGCTCAGGATTTGTCTGGGACTAATCTGTCCTTTAAGCGGTATGGGAATCCAGTCGATCTACCTCAGCCTCGACACCATCTAAGACCTCGTTCCGGGCCCTGCTGCTATGAGTTAGTCCTCGGGGACCATTCAATTCCTGCCTTGTTCCTCACTGTCTGAATGGCTGCCATCCTTGTGCACCTTGTATCCACTGAGCAGCTGGGTCTGTTGGCATCTCTAGACCCGACTGCTTCTGTCCTCACTCTCTCTTTCAGCTCCTGCTCTGCTTGCTGTGGTGATTCCAAGGACTAGAATCAATGAGAGGCTTCCCAGATATGATGAAATGGGAGGGAGAGGAATAGGGACTGGACGGTCCTCCCTGAAATTCCGTAAAGACAGCATCAGTAAAGTGTAAAATATTCAGGATGGCTATGATGGTCTGTGACAGGAGTTTCTCTTCCTATTAGAATCCTCTGTGTTCCTCCCTGGCTGGCCCAGCTAGCCAAGGCTAAGAGATTTCTGGCAGACTGGCTGACTAAGCATCAGTTGTCTGTCCAAGGGGTCCTGTAGAAAAGGCCCAGCTGTCCAGAAAGATGCCTGGCCCATTGGATGCTGTGTTCTGAGGGTTTCCCAATCCCCGCCCCATCAGTTCTGGAGGTAGTCTCCATGGTGAAGGTAAATAATCCTTGTCCCCACCTACTGGCCATTTTAGCAAGCAGAGCCTGTGGAATCTGTAGACCATGCTGCACCCACTGTCTCCTTTGACCAGTGGGCATCTGACCAGAGGTTTTTGCCTGCCTCTCTGGATTCCTGTACTCTTGGTGTTTGTTGATGCGCAGACACCCCTCCTGTAAGTGGAAGTAGTCTGACTCAAACCCCAACTCCTGTGACTAGAAGGATATCCATTCCTGCACTCCACACTTTGCTCTGGCCTTGACAGGTCCAACTCAGGGGAGAAGACTCAGAATAAAAGCCATTGTTGATTGATTCCTCTATTTCCAGGTTATGACTTGGTGTGGCCAATAATGCTGAGGGGAGGTGTGCAGTTCTGTTATCCCAGCCACAAATGAGTTATAGGAAAAGAATGAAATGGCTTTTCCTTTTGTGCTGGGTCTAACCCTTCCACCACACGGTGCAGATATGAAGTAGCAACTGTCATCCACATCCTCTCAGGATAATCACAGCTTCACTCCTGGGCTCTGCTCAGCTTCAGCTTTGGGTCCCCACCCCTTTCCTCTTCCTCTTGCTCTGCCTCTCTGTAAACTCCTGGTTCTAGATGAGGGGAGGCAGTGTCTATGGCACCTTTGCTCTGCTCTTCCCTGCTCATTATCTATGGAAGACTGGAATCTGACCAACACTTCGTGCATAATGTGTGAATCTGTCTCACAAACACATTGAAGGTGACAGATTTTCCGACTTTGCACTAACAGTTATTGCTGTCACTGTGTCAGCCTCCACCACTAAACCCAGTCTTTCCAATCTTAGCAGTGTAAGTACCCAGGCCCTGTGACTGACGTTCACAGGGGCCTTTAATTTTAGCGGGCAGGGCAGGGGGCCTAGGGGCTTGGGGCTCTTCTCATGGACCCTGGCAGGTTACTAACTTACATGTACAGTGAGATGGCTGCTGGGTCTCTTGCTTTCACATTAGAGCACACTGGATCACTAACAGGAAGAAAAGCACTTTATTGTAAGTTACATGTAAAGTAAATGTCACTTATGGTGCCCTCTAAGGGGAACCAGAAGTAGGCCTTGTCTCACCCTGCCAGTCATGTAGCTCTTTCCTCTGTCAGGCCTGGGAAGCTTTCTGGCCAGGCTCTTTTTTGGCCCAGAGGAAGCTCGTTTTCACTCACTGAGCTGGCAGAGCAAGGCTGATCCCTTGGCAATCCAGTAGTCTTTGGGCCTCTTGGAGGGCAAGAGGACAGTCACCACAAAGTTGGTAGAGTGACCTAATTAGGAATACAGAGAAAAGTGTCATTATTAAAAGAACACCCCTCCTGGAAAGAACACCATCCTGAAATCAAGACACTTGGGTCCCAGAGTATTCCCCATGGGCTTAAGTTTTATGCTTTGAAGACAGAACAAAGGTCCCTTTAGAGACGATTGTCTTTAGACCTAACTTATGGGTTTTTGTCTCAGGTTCTCTGCAGGTTGATTTAGGGCTTGTATGATCAGCAACTGGTGGGTGCATAGTGGCTGCAAAATCTGACCCTGGGAGCAAAAATGGACTCAGAACTCAGGCCCAAGTTTGCAGTGGGAGCTAGGCTCATGCCCTGGGTAGGCTAAGTGTCCATTCAGCCACACATCTGTTTGTCCACATTTCCATCTGTCCATCCACCCACCCATCCAGTGCTCTCCCTTAGTGCTAGGCAATGAGGGATCAGGGTTGAACAAGTGCAGGCCTCCTATTCTCAGCTCTGAGACAGCTGGCAGAAGGAGCTGCTTCTGCAGTTTGCATGTGGGCCTGTGTGAGGGGCCAGGACCGAAGTGAGAAGGAGGCCCTGACCCTAAAAAGATGGGTGTTATCATTTCTGGTCTTATTACAGTCACCACAGCTTCAATCAGTGGAATAAGAGGAAGGGGTGACATGCGTGGCAGAGAATGCCTCTGTCCCCTCTCCCTCTACTTATCATGTGCCATTTTCACCATTGTAACATGCCAGGTGCCCTGAGTATAGCCAGTACTCGAGTGACAGGCATCCTAATGTCAGCAGTTGAAATATGAGGGAACAACATAGGCCTGGATAATATTAATATAGAATGAATGATTTTCTGGGATCCTGAAACTTAGACCAAGGTCCTAAGTACCCCCTTTTTAACTCCCTCTGCCCCTGTTTGAGCTTCCCTGGGGGATGTTCAAATCTCTCCCCCATCCTAGGGACCAGTGACTGCCCAAGGAGTTGGTAAGATTTCTGTCCTTGGAACTCCCAGGTCTGGAGAATAGGCAGAGACATAACCAGAACTTGGGACCCGTTGTCTGTAAATCAAACAGAATTAACTCACCTCTGGTCAGAAAAGAGGTGCCCTGGGGGTGAAGTGGCTAAAGCATTCAGCTAGTGCAGCTAGCTAAAAGTTCAGCAGTTCCAACCCATCATCCACTTCTCAGGAGGAAGCTACAGCAGGCTGCTTCCAGGAAGGCGTCATAGCCTTGGGAATACTCCAGCTACAAGGCTATGTGTGTGTGACCACTATGAGCTATAAGCAATTTAAAGCAGCGATATTGCCCAGAAACCAATTCATCTGCCTTCCTGAATATTCAGTCTCCATATCATGCCCTTCTTTCTAACAAGTTCACTTTTAAGGACTTTTAGCAATGAGTGACTCTTGAGGTGGGGGACATGTGGGGTTACTGCAGTTGGACATATATCACATGTGCAGTCCACTTTAGACAAATGCTCTGAAAGCCCAAGGTGGGCTGGAATATCTGCCTGGGGTGGCTGGAAGTCCTGTGGTTAGGTTAGGAGTATAGGTCTGCTCCAGCCAGTTGCTTGGCTACAAGGAGCTTAAGACGGGCTGCATATTGGGAGAGAAATAGGATGATGGGAGGGAGGCTACATGTAGCTGGGTATGTGGGAAACAGTGCAGCAGCAAAGACTACTCCTGATCTCAGAGGGTGGGCGGTGCTCCTCATATAGTATGTAAGAACTGACTGTAAAGAGCAGGCAGGGTGATGGGGCTTGGGACCGTCATGCCTGTGTCCAGCCTGTCTTTAGGTTTCAGTGCTGGCACTGTGGGGATGGGAGCTGCAGCGCAGTTGAAGGAACACTCTCTGTACTTGAGAATATTGTAGGTCTCACTACCTTGTAATAATGTGAGAGTTGAGTGTGCCATCATCTTTTACAATGACACAGCAAAAGGTGACTTAAACATTTTTACTCAATTAATTTTTAAAATGCTATCTTTCCAGAACTTCTAGGATAAAAATTAATAAAAGAATTTTAAGAATGCTCTGATTCCTGATCAGACTTTATGTTTTGTCATTCTTGTAGTGGGAATACCAAAACTTGTTCACCACATCCACTCCAACCATCTCCCTGATGGTTTTGAAGCACAGTTTAAACAGTATGCCATTTTATCAAGAAATAGTTTAGTAGTTGTTAAGTGTGTTGAGTTGAGTATGACTCATAGTGACCCTTTGAACAACAGATATGAACCTTATCCTATCCTGTGTCATCCTAACCATCTCAAACGCATTGCTGCAGTCACTGTGTCAATCCACCTGGTTGAGGGTCTTTCTCTCTGTCACCATTCCTCCACTTTTTCCAAGCATGATCTGTTTCTCCAAGAAATAACCTCTCCTCGCAATATGCCCCGAGTATGTGAGATGAAACTTTATCACCTTTGCCTCCAGAAGCACTCTGGCTGCACCTTCTCTAAAACCTGTTTGTTCTATAGGAAGTCCCTGGGATATCCAGCCCTCTTCTCCAACACCACAGTTCAAAGACACAAATTCTTTATCATCCTTATTCATTGTCCAGCTCTCAGATGAATAGCAAGTGATCAAAAAGATCATGGTCTGAATTAGACGCACCTTAGTGACATCATTGTTACTCATAATTTGGAGAGGTTTCTAACTACAGACTTTCCCAGTTGTGGTGTCAGTAAATTACTTTAAAACATTGGTTTTTCTATCCAATGTGCTAGCCCCCTGGGGGTCATGTCTCCAGTTACGTTAACTGCAAACATATGGTCTTGAAAATCAACAACAGTTGTGGAATCATTATAAGAGAGCACTTTCCACACTGTGAAAGAAAGTGGTGGAGAGTGAAAAGACTATGGCACTGCTGTATAGAGACTGTGAAGAGACTATGGCAAGAGGTGGTTGTATTCACACAGGCTGCACTTCTGAGGTTTCTGAACAGTTATGTGGGTAGTTGCCAGAAATGCCATCAGAATGGCTTAACAACATGGGTAAATACAAGAAACCTTGCTATGTGGTAATTGCTCTTGGAAACTTGCATTTTTGATTAATAAAATCAAGCCAAATCAGGGTTTGAGCTGAGGTGTATACCCTTTCTCCCTCCTTTGAGCTGTGGTTTCATTGTAAAATATCAGGCTTTCTGAGATCTTGTCCCCATCCATGTGGCCCAGAGAGGCCTGGGAGCCCTGAGACCATAGCTCCATCTTTTAGGGGTCCCCAATAATGAGGCTCAGACTTAGGGTGAATTACCATCTTTGGGGTCATCTGTGCTTAGGTGGTTCGGGAAGTCACATGTGGGTATGGGGTCATGAGGACAGTTAGGAAACATTGAACCAGATACCATGGGGCACCCAAATGCCATCATCTCTCCGGCACCCAAAAACATGCATACCACCACTGGAGAAATAAGAGGTTGGATATAGACCCCCTGAATTTCCAGGAAGCACAGCCCAGAGCCCTGCCTCCCTCCTATTCCAGTACTCCTTCTCACCCCTCATCCCCCTCCCCACTTCCACCCCCCCAATCACCCTCCCACCCTAAAAAAAAAGAAGTGAGATACTATGGGAGGGTGTAACCAGAGGAATCCTGGAGATGAGCTACAGTTAAAGATTTTGTTTTCTGGATGATTGAAGGAAAAGTTGATTTGTAACTGCTCTGAGAAAACTTTGTTGGATGATTGAGGAAACCAGAGATGCATCTGTGCTGCTGAACTGAACTTGACTTTCACTAGTTGAGGAATTGTACCTTGTTACTTTGGCCTGGAACTTCTGGATTAAAGCTGGACTTGTGTGATATTATTTGCCTTTCCCATTCCTCAACTTACATCCCTAATAAACCCCACAACTGTGAGTAAAGTCTTTGAGTCAAGTTGCAACAAACATTGGATCCAATGATTGGTAGAATTAGGTGCAGGAGCTGTGAGGTGACATGTCTGATCATGTAGCTATTTGTTTAGTACTATGTATATTACTGATGGGGACAGTTCCTCTATATAAAGTGGATAGAAGTCAGACTCTGTCTTTTCCATGTTATCACTGTTCCCTTAAACACCAGTGCAATACATCTCCTGGTATGTATTTATAAACCATGACTGTTAAAAAAAGTAACCACATGCCACATAATAAAAATAAAAATTCATTAATGTCAACAAATGCCTGAATCATTGTTCAGATTTCCACAGGGTGTATGCATGTGCAGGCATATGGGTGCACATGTGTTTGTGCATACGTGTGTGTGCATGCACGTATGCATCTCTCCTGCGATGTGGTTACTGGATTCCCTCTACTGACCTCTCAGCAGCACATGTAGTGCATGTTTTTGTCAGGACTGCTTCATAGGTGCTGTGTACTGTTAGGAAGCACTTCACATCTGATAGCTTTTCTCTTTGGTGTGTTAGCAGCCAGTGGTGATTTAGAACCATTATCTTATTAAAACAGCCAAACAAATAAAAGTCAACTCATTGAGTTGGTCCTGACTCACTCGGTCACCCAGTGACCCTATAGGACAGAGCAGAACTGTCCTGCCAGTTTCCAAAGCTGTAGTCTGTAAATTCAATTGCCACATCTCTGTCCCATGAAACAGTGGTTGTTGTTAGGTGCTGTCCAGTCAACTAAGACTCCTAGCAACCCAATAAACAATAGATCAAACCTTGTCCTGTCCTGTACCATCCTGGTGAGCTTGAACTGCTAAACTTTTGGTAAGCAGGCAAGTTAGCAGGCAGCACTTAAGCACTGTGCCATCTCAGCTTCTCCATAGGAAAAAACCCGACAGCCTTGGAATCCATTTGGAGCATCGTTCCTCTAGGGATTGTCCTTTAGGGTTGCTATGAGTTGGAATCAGCTCAAAGGTGAAGGGTTCATTTTTAGAGAAGCAGGCCACCACACCTTTCCCCCCTAGAGGTGTTCGTGAGTTTGAACCAATGGCCTTTTGTTTAGAAGCCAAGTGCTTAAGTTCTGCACCACCAGGCTTCACAAAGGTACTTGAACTAATAACTGACTTGTTGCATACTGTTGAGCTGGAATCAACCTATAATTGACCCCAGTATGTTTTCAGAGGCATTAAATAACATGGGTGGAGACTGCCTATTTTTTTTAAAATAGTTTTTAAATTTTAAGTGAAAGTTCACAGAGGGATTGGTTTTCATTCATCCATCCATACCCCAATTCTTTTTGTAATGCTTGTTCTCCTTCAGGTTGTTAATTGTCATACATACAATTTCCAATAGTCAATTCCATTCAGCTTGTCCTTCTTCTCTCCCATTTCAGAGCAGTGTCATTTATTTATCTATTCTTTTCCAGCTCTACCCTTACCCTCATATCGATCCTATTATTATAGCATAGTCTTTTTTTTTTTTTTTTTTCTCCAGGCTCTTTATTCATCTCTGGGGAATTGCTGCTCGAGCATAGTCTTATATAGCATGTACCCTTTTGTGACTGAGAGATTTCACTCAGCATAATGTCTTCAAGACTCATTCATGCTGGGTAGTAGTGGTTTACAAGTTCACTGTTTTTTATTGCTGTCTGATATTCCATTGTGTGATGGCACCATAGTTTTTTTAATCTTTTACTTTGTTGATGGACACTTGAACTGCTTCCATCTCTTTGCTATTGTGAATAATGCTGTTATAAACATTGATGTGTAAGATGGCCTATCTTGGCCCCACGGAGCAGCTGGTGGATTTGTGGCTTTGGGTTAAGTGCTTTTGGGCTGACAGTGCAACTCCTTACCACAAGGTCATCAGAGTTTAGGAAGGTCTAATAATTCCTTACTAAGAAAGATGGACAATCTCCTCCTGTGCCATTTACTGCCTCTGAAAACTTCTAGAGAATCTGTGATGGGTCAGTTCTGACTCAATGGTACATAGCAACAACAACAACAATTCCAAGAAATATTAAAAATATGGCCTAGTGGCAAGAAGCTGTACTGCAATCCTGAAGGTATGTGATTTGAGGCCACTAGCTGCTCCATAGGAGAAGGATGAGCAATCTTCTCCTGTGTGAGTAACTGCTTCTGAAACTTGCTGGAGGGCCAGCTGTGGGTTGGTTCTGACACAACAACAACAACAACAAAATTATCAAAATGGTGTTAGAATGACACAAGGCTCAGAGAAATCCAATGCACTATGTATTCACTGTACTGATGTGGGAATAGAATGTATCATAGCAGTATCTTTTAAAACTGGTACGGAATAGAGAAATTATATCATCAAGGGTGTTGAGTCAATTGGTAATACTATATTGAGACACGCCTCTCATATCACTTACAAAAATTAAGTCTGATAGATTCTAAAGGCTTATTCACCCAACACTAAACTTCAAAAACTATTCCTCTAATGAACTGTAGAGGGAGCTCTGGTGGCACAGTCTGTAGGGAGTTGTGTTATTAACCCATCTTTTGGTGACCTGAGTCCACCAGTGGCTCTGAGGGAGAAAGATAGGTAATCTCCTGTGCAATTTACAGCTTCCAAAAATCTGATGGTCAGCTGTGAGTCAGCAATGAGAAACAGAGTGAAAGAAAACATTTCCACAAAGTTTACAGCAAGATAACCCTGTGAGATAGCTCTACTCAGCCACATAGGGATGTTGTGAATTAAAAAAAAAAAGTTGGTTCAGGTTCAATGGCACATGACAATATTCTATCACCTAGTTCAATGCATAGTGCCTGGGGTCTTAAAAGCTTACAAGCAGTCATCAACAATTGGTCTCTATTTACCAGGAGCAATAGAAGAAAAAGGAGCATGAAGATATAGGATGTGTAGCTAATTGCTTCCAGGAACAGCTTCCACTTTTGTCATAGAACCAGAAGAACTAGATGATGTTTAACCATAATTACAAAACATTTTAATAAAATATTTCATAAAAGAAAAATCAATCAATCAATCTCTGGGGCACCAAACAATAAGAGACTAATACCAACACACATTACTTACAGTATGTCAATCCAATTTCAATATTATGACAAATAGAATTTAGAACATCACTGTATTTATATCTAAGAGATTCATTTTAAACCTGGTTAATTGGCCTAAGAGATTTCTTATCTTTGTACATTACAGCACGATATTTGGACTTTGTGGGTTGTACTCGGTCAGACCTTACCTGTGGTAGACAGCGTGCCTGCTCGGGCTCCTGTCTTATACAGTGGGGAGTGGTACAGTGTTGGGCTTGGCTCGTAGTTCTGCTGAGGTTCAAAGTGCACCACAGGCAACATCGGGTTCATCTCTCCAGGCAGAGCATCTTCTATCACCATCTCCTGGTCATTCCAGCGAGAAGCATCCATGAACATCCCGTGAACAAGAACCCCATCTTCAGGAGAGGGCAACTGAAAGAAGACCAGAAGTTTAAAGGTGAGAGGAAGAGAAGGGGTTAGTGGTAGGTAGCCATGTCTGCACCCTCATCAGTAAACTCCACTCTGTAGTCTGCTGATGGGACTTACATTCCACAGTGGGCTGAGGAGAATCCTAAAGGTTAAATAATCTGCTTCTTAGTTTGACACCATCCCTCATATTTTGAACACTCTTTCAGGATGTTTGTCAGGGGATTCTTACTTCCGGGCTTCAAACAGTCTGTTGCCATCAAGTTCTTTTCATGACAATGCTTGTCCTTTTCATGAGAAGCAGATGGGCTAAGAGGGCTGTGATTATCACTGGCTATGAGAGGTTGTGAGAAAGAAGTCCCTCAATTAGATGGATTCACGTGGAGACTGCAAAAATGGGCTCAAACATGGCAGTGATTGTGAGGATGGCACAGGACTGGGAAGGGTCTCATTCTGTTGTACAGAGGGCCACTGTGCAACATCTGACAGCAATAACAGCGATGCATGTCAGTAAAGCCTTCAACAATCTGCAGGCCCTTCCAGGCCACCAAGGATGACTTTAAGTTGGCCACAATACTAGCAGAGTGCCTGTGAGAAATTCCTCTCTTAGTGGATATTAGTCTTGCTTTGTAATGTTTTCATTGAAGGAGAGAGAAGATGGACAGGCAGACAGACCTTACTCCTTAACTGTCCTTTGAATGCCACGTGTTGGGCCTTCAGAGGTTCAGGTGCAGATTATAGGCCCCTGTGCCATTCTTCTTTAAAGATGAATCCATTTTGGGGCCCTAGACCTTTGGCTAAATCAGAGCCTCACACCTGTGGGCAGATGACCAAGAAGTGTAGGCCATGGCCAGTGCATTTTATATTAAATGAAAGGATGGCAAACTTTTCTACCTGTTTTTGCTTTTGGTGTCCTGAGCTATCTATTTCCTGGGTAGCACAAGGTAGGACTGGCGTTCTTGACGAAAGGGGGCTTAGTGGTGAGGAATTGTGCTGCCAGTGCAAAGGTATGTGTTTTGAGTACACCAGCTGCTCTATGGGAGAAAAATGGGCAATCCCCTCCGGTGTGATTTACTGCCTCTGAAAACCCACTGGAAGGTTAGCGATGGTACACAACAACAACAACATGCCCATAGCCTGAGTATGCTGGAAGCTGAGCATCACCCCAAGCTATGTGTAGTGGCATCTGTTTGTTGAGTATTATGTCTGCAGGGTGCATCTATGCTGAGGGAGTTTCTGTTTTCAAACTGTTCAAAAGCTGTAGATGGGTTAATAGCAGCAGGTCTGCCTACTTGTAACAAATGTTAATACACACGCCTTATTGTCTTGCTTTAAAAAATGTATTAGAGCTAAAACATATTTCTTTAAAAAATCTCTAAATCACAATGGACATGAAATAATGCATATTAAAAAATCAATTCCCTGGGGTCTTAAAGGCTTGCCAGTGGCCATCTGAGCTGCAACTATCTTGTTCAGAACAAAGAAGAGCTAACTCATAGACTATGCAAATGCCAACTTCCACCACCCTGCGACCAGCAACAATGGATGGTGATTTGTCATCACTGCAGTCTTTCCTTGAAGGGAGCCCACTATAGGGGTTGGACAAAGAGCGACAGAAACAAAGCAGAACTCAAAGGCACAAAAAGACCTGGCTTGTGGGCCTACTAGAAATGGTGAAACCCTGTAGACAGTGACCCTTTTGATACTTTGAATGTGAACCTGAACTTACTTCTGTAGCTCAACTATCAGTTAAACAACAGACATGATTTCTAGGTGAACACTAGGACCAATGAGACATACATTCCTTAGGAGAGCCAACCATATAAGACCAAAGACTGGTATCTGTCCAGATAGAATGTTCTGAAAGCAGGAAGGGATATATGGATGACTAGAAACTAGAAGCACAGGGAGAAAGTGGGAAGAGTGCTGTTAGAATGTAGGATGGTAATTAATATTATAAAACAAAATCTCTGTGGCTGATTGAGTGAAAAATAAATTGCCTTGTAAACTTTTACTCAAAAATTAATAAAAAATGTTTTTTAAGAAGTGGACTTTCTCCTTCATCCCTTCTTATTACCTTAAAATACAGACAATGATATCACAAAATTACATAGATTAAGCTGTGAATATGGAGCCAATCCTTCTTTGCATGGCTGCTAATCAGGGCAAAAAGTATTGAGTATGAGTGGTGTGATACTGACATAGTTATCCAGGAGCAAGTAATACTAAACTCATGATATTTTAAGAAAAACTTAGTAAAAGTTACCCTATCTATACTGGTTAGCCAAGAGGAACCCAATAAAATATGGGATCAAAAATTATCCAGTTATTACAAGTAAAGGAGGGCTCCAGAGCAGAAGATAACAATTATGCTGATGGGGGGGGGGAAGCTATTCAGGAAGGACACAGAGAAAGTGTTTGTCCAGCCTTATTGCTATCACCTATAGACTCCTCTGGAGAAAATCCCCAAATATAGACGAGGAAGTGGACTGGTCCAAGAGAAAAGGATTCTTTCTATCTGCCTTTGGATGGTGGATAAAAAGAAGGAAATCTATTTAGCCCTCAGCAGTTAAGGTGGAAACTAGTCTTTCATTCCCACCAAACATTTCACACCGGGATATATTCTCTTAAGGCATGTCTATAAAAACCAGTGGTGATCAAACAAAAGGATAAGCTCACCAAACACATAACAAGGTAACATCTTCTGTGAATCTGAAATTACCAACAAGGGAAGCTTGTCTATAACTGTAGCTGTTCAAGCTAGTGCAGCGTTGATGTATCCAATATTGTCACAGAGATTTTGGCAAAGCTCTGGTCTCCCCTGGTCATTTTCTGGTCATGGAATCCCTATATTGACCCTCCCTCTCCTTGGGTAAGAAAACAATGGGGGTGAGGGCAGACAAGGAAGATGCTCATAAAAATAGGGTGGGAGAGAAGTGACTCTGCTGTGACATTTGTCAGGTGGACAATACCTCCACGTCCATGGGCAGTTCTTGTCCAAACTGTATTATTTTGGCAGCTTCTATCACTGCAGCTTGGTCCCGATAATTAGGAATCATGTTGTACTTAAAGCTCAGCTCATCTATAGGTAGATTGTATTTTCGGGCATGATTCTGAAGAGTTCCTATAAATATAAAAACCAGAAAGTTGAGTTATCCAAACACCTTAGCCTGAGCAAGAAGGGGGCCCTAGGGCCCAACAGGCTTTTCTAGGGCTTCCTCTCCACTCAAGATTCACTCTTTAATAATTTTTCCTGGCAGCCTGTATGTCTTGTTTGGAGAGAAGAAGGTAGGAAGCACATTCAAATTCCAGTCAGGTATATGAAAAAAGTAAGAAAGCCATGTCTGAGTATAGGGCTATGTAACTGTGGGAGGCGGATTATGAGAAATTCTAGACACTGGAGACAATAGGTATAAAAGGAGGGTTTTCAGAGTCCATTCTCCCTCTTCTGGATTCTTGTCTAGCTTGTCATGAATAAGCTGTTACAGAGATCCAGATGACATAGAAAAAAATCTGGACTGTGTGCATCCAGTCGCTCAGAGACTCTGGACTGCCTAGAGCTCCCTAGCCAAAATACCCTCAGGTTACTGGAGGGACAGCACAAACACTGTTCTGAAGGAAGGAAACTTCCTGGACCTGAAGCTGGAGCAGGTAGAGAGCATGGGGTACCCTGAGTGTGGTCACACTGGGGAACTGGAGCACCCCCAGTAAGTCTTTGTGGAGGTAGCAGTGTCTGCCTTTCATAACCTAAGAAGCACAGGGGTTAGGTTGCTGGAGAACATCTACTATTTACCCTATCCTTGTGCTCAGTGTCAAGAATGAGCAGGACCTCGCTGAACCGCTCTATAAAGAACAGCCCCACTGTCAGGCCATTAGCAGCCAAGCCATTTCCCCAGCTCTGAAAATACTTGTGTGTAACACATTACAGCCCTTCCTGTGAGGTTTTTCCAGGGAAAGCATTGGTACCTGTTAGAAAACCTTGAGGAAAGAAGAAGCCGGAGATCCAGAAGGACTTAGGTTGTCCTCTTTTGAGCCACAACTGTGGAAGAAATATTACAAGTTATTTCTGAGGTAATTTGTCATCTAAATCAAAGTTACATTCCAGAGAGATGCAAAGGAGCCAGGGTGAATTCTTATCCCCTTTCTTCACTCACTTAGCCTGACCCCAAACACAGAGCCTCGCTATTACAGGGGACACAGGAAGGAGACAATAGCAAGGAGACCTATCTTAGCTTGGTTTTATGTCCCTCAGTGCGGTTCCACAAATTAGATGTGGTACCCAATAGTGGTATGGAATGAAAAGTGGGGATCAGGGATGAAGGCCAATGACATTATAATCAATATATGATTTTCCAAATGATAATATTCTTTTAGCTCACATGATTGATTCCTAGATAGTTGTTGACATTTAGTAATTGAGAGATTCCTAAGGGCCAACTGTGCCACTGATTCATCAAACCCCAAAGAAGTGAATTTTCTTACATCCACAAATGCAGTTCTCAGAATAAGGTCTTTCACCCATGATCCAAGTGGCTTCAGGGAAGGGTAGGCTGTATTGGCCCAGAGAGAAGGGACCTGGTTATTGAGGAAACTATTATAGATCTTCTCCATTTCTTCAGACATCACCACCAATCCAGCAATGGCCTTGTTGAGTGTTGCTAGAGAAGTCTAAAGGAATAAACAAATGTTGATGTCATAGAGTTAATTTTGATGAGAATGACAAGTGCAAGAGTAGAGGCACAGCTCCTATGAGTGTTTACTGCTTCAGGTGGACTGGCCTCACTGCTGGGTTTCACCCTCTCTGCACACCAATCCCAAACCAGACCCTCCCATCTTTGCATCCACTTTTGTAGTGTGACCACAGTGGTGTAAGATCTGTGAGTCAGAGTGGTTGAGGATGTTAATGGCAGTTCCCAATGCAGTGAAAAAAAGAGTAACAGAGAGCATCCTTTGATGCTGAGAAAAAGAGCTCCCAGTCCTGCTTGCCACCACCCAGTTCTTCTCCAGGTAAAGAAAAAGCAGACCTGGTGGTTAGTGATGTAGGATTCAAACAGAAAACCTCGTCACACCACTGACCATCTCTGCTCAAAGGGTGTCCAGAGCACAGCAGCAGCATCAGAAAGAGAGTGATTCTTGGATGATTCCAACATCCTTGAGGATGAAGATCATTTTCTTCAGGCATGACTCTTATCTTGCCCTCTCTCTAACAAAAGACGGGGGTCAGGGGTGTTTAGTAGTACTGAGGAAATGTTTGGCTGGCCAGCCTTGCTGGTGGGAAGTACAATGCAATGCTTACCACCAGGCCAAGGACAAATGCAGGGCATGGAACTGACCGTAGCCCTCAAAAGTTACAACTGGTGAAAAGTACAAGGTGATGATTGCCACCTGGCTAAGGATGGAATTGGCCATGGCTCTCAAAAGTTCTGATGTAAGAAGTACTCTCATGTTTTTGGGAAGATATAACAGTATGATAGGATTGTGTCAGAGGCCAAATATATGTTGATTAAAACCAAAGTGAGGCACAGAGTCCTAGAGACAATGTGTGGATGACACTAATTGTGTCCCACTCCCTTAGTATTTCATTTCTTTATGGATTCATTCCTTGGCTCTTTCCACCTTTCCATGTATCCATAGACTAGAGGCTGTAATAAGAAAAGTCATTAAAGGACTAGTAAGGGATTGGCACAGAAGTGCAAGAAGCAAGCCCTTATCCACAGTCCACATCATTACATCTTGGGCACAAAAATGGGGAAACATAGAAGACACTGCAGGGAGAGCCCATAGATGAGAGTCACTGTGGGGACCTCAAGGTCAGCTTTGCAGTGGACTGAGGCCACACTGCAGTTGATTCTCCAGAAGGAAGGAGATAACACATGGTGTAACACACAGGCATGGCGAATACTCTCTATTGCAGGGAGCTCTGCTGGTGCAGTTCATACGGAGCTGGGCTGCTAACACAAAAGTCACGTCTCTGGCTTTTTGAATCCACCAGTGACTCTGTAGGAGAAAGACAGGAAGTCTCCTCTCATGTGATTTATAACCTCAGAAACCAAATGGGAAGGTTAACTATGAGTCTGTTTTTATTCAAAAGCCATGAGCTCATAGCAGCATTATTCATCATCACAAGAACATGGAAACAGTCCAGATATACAACTAAAATGGAATGGATTGAGAAATTACGGTACATTCACACAATGGAATACTATGCAGCACATAGGAACAATAATTTTGTAAATTACTACCTAACTTGGGAGGACTGGAGAGTATTATGCTGAGTGAACTAATTCAGTCCCATAAGGACAAATACTATATAAAACCATTATTGTGGAATGAGCATGAGGATTGGGGTGGGGGGAAGGAAGCAGAGGGGTGAGGATGGGAGGGGGTGGGGAGGGGCAGGTTAAATGAGAGAGTCGCACAATTTGATGGGTGGAGTTGAGGGAAATGGGAAAGATCCGGTGTGTAAAACAGTTCACTCAAACTTTGTAAATAAAATAGTATAAAATAAAACAGCAGCAACAACAAAAACCCCAGCAATGAGAGAGAAGGATGTCTCATAGGGTAGAAAGATTACTGGAAACAAGAAATAAAGGGAGGAAGTGGGAAGAATAGAGTTACATTGTAGGAATTGCAAATAATGTCATAAAGCAGATTGTACATGAAGTGGTTGAATGGAAATTCAATTACTTTCTAAGCATTTCCTCAAATAAAAAAAAGGGGGGGGAAATCTACACAAGTTCTCTTTCCTTAATCTTACTCTAATGCTCAAGAATAAAACTTTTCCAGTCACTGCTCTAGTATTTGATTTTTTAAAGTCTTTATCTTTCCTTATCAAGGTTACGAACAGAGAAACTAGGGAATTTTTTTTTTTTATAAATTCAAGATTTCAGAAAGAATGTGTCCCTAAAGCATAAGTCAAAAGACTAAACAGCGGTTCTCAAATTGTAGTCTCACTGAAACTAACAATTTATTCCACTCGTAATGAATGATCCTTCATTGAATTTCCAAGACTGTTGATTTAAAAATTCATATTTCTGGGCAGGATTTACCTCAAGAAATTCTTACTCAATAGGTTTAAGGTCAGGGATCTGGTGGCTTGGTCGGTAAGGAGTTGTTCTGTATCCCAAAATGAAAAAGTGTAAATATACCATCTGTTCTGCAGTAAAGTAATGAGTAATATCTTCCTTTTTTATTTACAACCTCTGAAAACCCACGTTTAGGGTCAGCTATGAATTGGTTTTGATTTGAAGCAATATGTTTTGAGTGAATAATCAACTGCTAACAGAAAGGTTTTAACCTAGCCAGCTGTTCAGAGGTGAGGACAAAGTGAGGCAGTCAGCTTTTTAAAGAGCCTTGGAAACCCAGTGGGAAGTGCTGCTTTGTTTTCTAGGGTTGCTGTGAGCCAGACTTGCCTTGGTGGGTAGAGCAAGAACAGGGAATGTACATTCTGAATCTGTACTTACGGAGATTCTAATACAGACCTTGTGTAGGCCGCATTGTGAAGAACTTTTCCCAAGAACCATGCTACTAAATGCAAACTAGGTCTCTAGAGGAAGTGCTGAACCTCTGTCAATCTCCTACTTAAATTCCTGGTCAGATTTCTAGTGACTCAATGATAATTCTCAGGTTTTATGTTCTTAGAAGAAATACAGCCAACATGCTCTTTAGAAATGAAGCTGGGTCACACTTTCTTTGGCCACATTGGTCATCAGAAGGGAAAAGGACAGCTCAGTGAAGTAGGTCAGCAAAGTGAAGAAAAGGCCTCAGCGGGATGGCCTGGCACAAGACCCAACAATGGGCTCTAATATACCGCTGATCATGGAGATGATGTTAGACCAGGAAACGTTTGCTCTGCTACATGTAAGGAAACCATGAGTCACTTGACTCAGATGGGGAGACTGAATATTTTCAATGTCACACATTTGCCCAGTCATTAGAAATAGAAGATATAGACTTGTTACCAAACCTGATCCACTCTCACGGAGATGGTTCTCACTCATACTGACTGATCCCCGCCACTGAATTTCCAAAGCTATAAATTACCCATCTTTATTCTGAGGAGTGGCTGGAAGAGCCAAACTACTCACTTTTCAGTTATCAGCCTGGTATGTTATACACTACACCACCAGGATTTTTATAGATTCATTTGAGGAGGATTAACTCAATTTTAGACAAGTTAGATTTGAAGAGAGGCTAGCATATTCAGATGGAAAGGCTGAAGTGATGGGAGTGGGAAATTCCAAGCGGACTCATATTTTTTGGTACACTATTTCTCTACAAAGCTCTGATACCTAACAGCAAATATGACATCAAGCTCTCATACGTGGATTAGCTTCAGCAAATTGTTGAACCGGTCCACTTCCTGTCCAAGGACTGTAGTCAAGGAATTAAGGCGACCCTGCACATCCTTGGCAAACAGGCTCTCTGACGCACCCTCCATTTCCAGGGTTTCTGAAACACACACAGTTGACTTCTCAGATCAGTCATCACTAATTTCTATTGACACCACTTTGTTACTGTGGGGTGCTTATCTTCCCATTTTAAAGTTCATTTCTTGTATTATTTAAGTCATATATACAAGGCTATAACCTGACAAAATGTCTATGAATTAGAGCTCTTTGGATTTTCAGCTCTGTTTATTATAGAAGCAATTGCAGGAAATGAAGCTTAAATTCAAGTTTATCAGGGATCTACCTACCTAATTCTAAAAAATTAAACTAGCTCATCCCCACCGCCCAGCTTAAAGCATGCTTTTCTTAGCTATTTTCATCTTCTCCAACAGTCTAGATATGTAGTGTATGGCCCTGGAATAAAGTCTTAGATTGTTGGTTATAGATTAAATAGAATTTCGTGCCCTCTTCCCCCACATACATGGATGAAATAACATAATGTTGAAATTACATAATAATCAGCCATCAGCTATAAAACAAATCGTTGTAAAGAGGACTAAAGGTGTAATTCAACACCCCTTCATCCCATCACCATGATGACAGAGGTAAGGGAAGTCTCCCTTGTTTGTGGCCTGAAGCATCATTTATCTCACTTTTTCTTTCTTTTATTGATTGCTCCTACCATTGGTGGGTATTGATTATGAATCTAAGTTGATTGCTGACAGTATCAATATTTTCTCCATTTATCATGATGCTGCCTATTGTCCAATGTTGTTGTTGTTGTTATGTGCCGTCGAGTCGCTTGCGACTCATAGCAACCCTATGTACAACAGCCCTAAATTCCGCCCTGTCCTGTGCCAATAGCACTGTCTCTGACACTCCCACCCCAATTATCCCAGTCACTGAATCAATCCACCTCATAGAGGGCCTTCCTCTCCTGCGCTGTCCCTCCACCCTCCCAAGCATGATGTCCTTCTCCAAGGACCGGTCTCTCTTCACGACATGTCCAAAGTATGTTAGACAGAGCCTCAGAATCCTTGCCTCCAAGGAGCCACCCGGTTTACCCTTTCCAGGACAAGTCTGTTTGTTTTCCTAGCAGTCCATGGTATTCTCAATACTCTTCTCCAGCACCACAGCTCAAAGGCATCAATTCTTCTTCTATCCTCCTTGGTCATTGCTCTGATGCATAAAAAGTGATTGCGAAGACCATGGCCTGTATCAGACGCACCTTAGTCTCCAGAGACACACCATTGCTCTTCAGTACTTTGGAGAGGTCCCTAACAGCAGACTTTCCCATGGCAATGCAGCTTTTAATTTCCTGGCTACTGGTTCCAAGACTGTTGACTATGGAGCCAAGCAAACTAAAGCTGTGAACAATCTCAATCTCTTCACTATCCATCCTGATGCTGCCAATTGGTCCAGTGGTGAGAATCTTTGTCTTCTTGACATTGAGCCTCAATCCTTGACACTCTGCAGCAGGCACTTCAGGTCCTCTTCAGTTTCAGCAAGCAGGGTTGTGTCATCTGCATAACGCATATTGTTGATAAATCATCCACCAATCTTGACCCCACATTTCTCCTCATAGAGTCCAGCCTCCCGGAGAATCTGTTCTTCATATAGGTTGAAAAGGTATGGAGATAGGATGCATCCCTGGCGTACTCCCTTCCCAATTTTGAACCATTCAGTGTTCCCTTGCTCTGTTCTGACGACTGCCTCCTCGTCCAAGTATAGGTTTCGCATTAGAACGATCAAGTGTTCTGGGATTCCCATTCTTCTAAGAGTCAGCCACAGTTTGTTATGATCTACACAGTCAAATGCCTTTGCATAGTCAATGAAACACAGATAGACATTCCTCTGGTATTCCCTGTTTTCAGCCAAGATCCATCTAACATCAGCTACAATATCCCTAGTACCACGACCCCTTCTAAACCCAGCCTGGACTTCTGGTAGTTCTCTGTTGATGTGCTGTTCCAGTCGTTTTTGGATAATCTTCAGTAAAATCTTGCTTGCATGTGAAATCTGTGAGATTGTTCTGTAGTTTCCACATTCTTTTGGGTCACCTTTCTTTGGGATAGGAACAAACATCGATCTCTTCCAGTCAGTTGGCCAAGTGGTCGTTCTCCAGATTTCTTGGCACAGCTTGGTGAGCACGGCCAGGGCAGCATCTGTTAACTGAAATATGTCAATTGGTATACCATCTATTCCTGGAGTCTTATTTTTTTGCCATTTCCTTCAAAGCAGCCTGAACTTCTTCTTTCATCACCATAGGCTCTTGCTCATATGTTGTTGAGGACTTTTGTTTTCGTTATGTTGAGAGGTAATCCATATTGAAGGCTCTAATCTTTGATCTTCTGTAGAAAGTGCTTCAAGGTTCTTCACTTTCTGCAAGGAAGATTCTATTATATGCATAACACAAGTTGTTTATGAGTGCTCCTCCAATGCCACATTCTTATTCACATAGTCCCTCTCCGTGAATGAATCATTCAGATTGGATAGGCATGGAGAAAGGATACAACTTTGATGCACACCTTTCCTGACTTTAAACCATGCAGTATTCTTTTGTTCTCTTTAGACAACTGTTTCTTGGTCTGTGTACAGGTTTGGCATGAACACAATTAAGTACTCTGTGATTCCCATTCTTCTCAATGTTATCTATAATTTATTATGAAAATATAAATATTTTCTATTTGGTGATTAAAAAATTGCTTTCTGAAATAAACTCAATTTATCTCAACATCAACAAAGTCCTCTACCAGAGTAATCATCCTTGAAATTCTACTCTGGGACAATGTAATAATAATAGACTTTGAGGCTAGGTTGTCCTGTTCTCTGGGGGTTTTAACGGTATTGGTGAAACCCAGTTATTGGGCTATTTCTGCCTAATTTCTTGATTTTCTTTTTCCTATTTAAACATCTCTTCTAACCATGAATAATACCAAACAGAAATCCTAGCCCATTGTTATAGATTTGATTCTGATTCCTGATGACCTCAGATGTTTTAGAGAAGACTGGCGCCAGAATATTTTTGGTTGTAATCTTTATGTGAAGGGATCTCTGATGGTTTATTCCATAGGGAATTGAGCTACTAATTCAAAGACAGAGCCTCTCAGAGGTTCAAATCCATCAGTGGCTCCTTCAGAGAAGAATGAACCATCTTCTCCTTTGTGATTTATTGTCTCTAAAAACCTGGTGGAGGGTCAGTACAAGTCACCTGATGACAATAAGAGAAAAAAATCTTTATGGAAGTATATCATACAACTTTTTGTTTGTGGTGCTATTGAAGGGGTTTAAACTATCAACCTCTTAATAGTCATGCAAAAATTGTTAGTACTACTTGCAAAGACTTAGTCTGGAAATAAATGGGCTACAGTATGGCCAATCAAAGAAAAATCTGAAAGTGGATCTCCTGTGTTCATCCAGACTCTTAGCTTGCTAGAGAACAAGGTGAAATTGCTTTAGCCCTTGCTCCTGAAGAGAGAGAAAAGAAAAGGAAATGGATTCTGGAGCTGAGCTTCCCTAAAGAACATTTTACAATGATGGAAATATTATATATCTGCACCGCCCCATATGGTAGCACTTGGCATATGAATACTGTGATTGAGGAACTGATTTTTGTAAAAAATTTATGTTATTTTAAAATTCATTGATTGTTACACATTTTCCTCTCTCCCTTCTCCCTGTCTCCAGTCCACTTTGCAATGCAACCTTTTGTTCCAGATTGTTGTCATACATATAATGCTGAATCATATATTCCTTTTGGACAGTTCTTCCCCTCATCTTTGAGGAACTGAGGTTTTTATTATTTCACTTATATTTGGATTTAAGTTGCAACAGATAGTGGTTTCTGTTTTGCACAGTACAAGTCTGGAGATAGTGGAATACAGAAGCCGAGAGAAGTTGGGGGAAAGATCTGGTTAAAGTTCTTCTGGGTTGGAAACCAAACTTACCCTTATACTTGTGGCAGTTGAGCTGTCAAGGTGCTGTATGCCTCTGCTCTGCAAATGGAGAGCTCCATGGCAGAACTCAATGATCAGGAAAAGTTCTCTACATAATAAGCAGGCTTGTACACTTGCTTATCTCTTAGCTTACTCTAAGTTCATACTTAAAAGTACCATTACGTACAGATGCTGTGAATTATCATTACCTGGGATTCTGGACAGGACAGAAGCAACAAGTTCTTGGACAATTTCATCATTGCTTTTTCCTTCTCCGCCTGAAAATGACCTTGGCTGAACATCAAGTATGGTGTTGATTAAAGTATTGGTCTCTTTGTACTGTAAGGTTAATATGAGACAGAAGAATAAAGCTTTAAATTCTTAAATTTAAGAAGAATTTCTTCGTAAAGAATAATTTTACACTACATATAGTTTACTTACAGAAATGATGGCAGTTCTCAAGAACAAGGCAAAAAATTAGGTTGAAGGGTTGGTACAATATGTTAATTAGAAACACAAGAGAAATAGTTGTCACTGTAATATTTTAACATCTTTAGTTAATAATTTAAAAGGCAAATATGCAAATGAGGAAGAAAATAATGAGAACATAGTTTTAGGCCATGCTGTTAGTTAAGTAACAGTTTTCTGCTATTAGAGATGAAATGTAGCTTATCATAAAAAACTTAGAAAACACTGAAAAGTGCAAAGAAAACTACTCATTATCCTATTGTCCAGTGCTAATGATAACATCTTAGTTTTTTTCCCACTTAGTAATTTTCTATAGGTATGTATATCTAGTTAATGAGGTGGTTGTTGTATACTGCCATGTCAGGACCAAACCATAGCTGACCCTCCAGAGAGTTTTCAGAGGTTAATGAGGTTAAGTCTATACAATTCATGTGCTGTTATGTTAGATGCTCTTGAGTTGAATATGACCCACAGCAACCCTCTGAGCAAGCAATGGATCTGAACCCTGGCCTATCCTCTGACATTCTCACACTTCCTGACACTAGAACTCAATGTGGCAGGTACTGTGTCAATCCATCTGGTTGAAGGTCTTTCTCTCCTTCGACGACCCTCTGCCTTTACAAGCATGATGTTTCTCTCCAAGGAATTCCCTCCCCTAGCAACAGGCCCAAAGTATGTAAGGCAAAGCTTTCTCATTTTTGCCTCAAAGAAGCACCCGGGCTGCACTTTCTCCAAGATACATTTATTTGTTCTTTTGGCAGTCCATGGAATGTTCAGTACTCTTTTCCAACACTACAGCTCAGAGGCATCAATTCTTCATCCTCATTCATTGTCCAGCTCTCAGATACATAGCCATAGCGAGTGATCAGAAAGACAATGGCCTGAATTAGACACACCTTAGTCCTCAAACTGAGATAATTACTCCTCAATAATTTGAAGAGGTCCTTGACTGCAGACTTTCCTAGTGCATTGTCTACTGATTTCTTGATTGCTAGTACCAAGGGTGTTAATCGTGGATCCAAGTTTGATGAAGTTTTTGACAGTTTCAATTTTTTTCTATCTATCATGATGTTGTCTATAGGTCCAATGATAAGAATTTTTGTTTTCTTGATGTTGAGATGTAATACATATTGAAGACTATAGTCACTGATCTTCTGCAACAATTTATATAGTGTTCCCTTCTTCCTCAGTATCATGAACATTTTCCCATCCCACTGAAGCATTATTTTTTTTTAACAAAGTTTATTTCTAGTTCGAACCTGGGCTCCTGCGTGCTGACACAGCAGCATCCAGCCGAGAGCCCCACTGAAGCATTATTTTCAATGAATGTGTGGCCTTCCATGGTATCAGTAAACCATACCTATTGTTTATCTACTTTTTTGACATTTTTAGATCCTATAGAACTTTAGGAATAGCATCTGCATATGAATTTCACCCTCTATCTTTGAAAATTTTAAAATACAGATTATTAGAAGAGATACTTTTAAAACTATTAACATATCAATCCCTAAAGACATTGTATTCATTTATGCTCCTGATAAGTGTATACAGGAGACTTTCCATTTCTATGTCTTTGTAAATCTTAGTTTTATGGCAACAATTTTTTTCTCATTTAATAAGTAAAAAAAAGTAGATTTCTCGTTTTTTGCAACTCTGAGTATTTTGTTGTTGTTAGGTGCCATCAACTTGAGTATGACTCACAGTGACTGTATGAATAACAGATCTGAATCTTGCCCTATTCTGTGCAGTCCTCATCATCCTTATACACTTGAGCCTATTGCTGAAGACACTATGTCAAATATCTTGATGGTGGTCATCCTCTCTTTCACTGACCTTTGACACTTTCAAGGATGATATCCTTTCCCAAGGGATAGACTCTCTTGGTAACATGACCAAAGTATGAGAGACAAAGCTTTGCAATTTTTGCCTCCAAGGAGCACTCTGGCTTCACCTTGCCCAAGACATTTCTATTTGTTCTTTTGGCTGTCCATGGGATATTAAGAACTCCAATGCTACAACTCAAAGGTATCAATACTTCTATCATCCTTATTCATGGTCCAGCTCTCAGAAAATAGCAAGTAATTAAAAAGGCCATGACCTGTATCAGGTCATAAAATTGACATCATTGCTCTTCAGTATTTTGGAAAGTCTCTGACAGCAGACTTGACAAAAGCAATACATCTCATTCTCTTCTTTTGCTGGTACCAAATGTGTTAATAGTGAATTCAAGCAAGATGAAATCATTGATAGTTTCAATCCTTTTTCCACCTATCATGATTCTGTTCTCTGATCTAGTGGTAAGGATCTTTGTCTTCTTGATGTTAAGATGTAATTCATATTGAAGGCTGTAGTCTTTGATCTTCTGCAGTAGGTGTTTCAGGGCCCTTTGCTTGCAGCAAATAAGGATATTCTTTGAGGATTAGGAGAGTTAAACTTTTGAAATATATTCATTGGATGATTATTATTTCTTTAAAAATTATTAATATATTTTGCATATTTAAATTTTCAGTGTTTTTATTATTGATTTATAAGAGATATACATAAATAGGTAACTGTCTTTTGTTTTAAAAAGTGCTTTTATTTGTCATTTATCTGTTCATTTTCTTGTGAACTTTTTGATACAGTAAAATCTACTGAATCTTTCAAATATAATTTTTTTTAATTGTTTTTTATGTTTAGAAATTCCTTCCTATTCCAAAGTCAATAAACTGTTTTTTATTTTTCTGGATTTTTCTTCTGCCCAGGAGCAAAGTATCATTCTCATATCTATTTATTTGAATTTCTTAGTGGCTTATATTATGTAGATCTCACATTTCTTATAAGGGTGAATCTCTGAATCTCTTATTGTTTCATGTTTATATTTCTAACTCAATTACTGTTGGTAAATCTATCCACCATTGGATTGTGAATCTGTAATCCTAATGGGAAGAGACTGCACATCTTTCTCCTGGGGGTGCTGGTGGATTAAAGCCTCCAGAGAGGTTCAATTGGCTATTGGCCCAATTGTTAAGGATTAAGCTACCAGACCACCAGTATTATCTTTGTCCTAGAAATGCTAGAGCCATCACTTGTCAGTCATTAACCAGAGAGAGAAGCTGAAAAAAAAAGTACTGCTTGGGGTTCCAGATCTTGATTGTTAAAATTATAATTTATATAACAGATACTCTTTTACATATATTATTTCTACAGTATTCATGGAGTTTTTGAAAACATATATGCATGTCCTAGTGGTTGAGAATTGTGCTGCCAATCCAAAGGTAAGCAGTTAGAGTCCACCAGCTGCTCTGCCAGACAACAGTGGGTAATCTACTTCTGTGTATTTACTGACTTCGAAAACCCCCTGGAGGGCCAGCTACTGGTTGGTTCTGACTCCACAGCACACAATAAGGTGTATCAAACAATTTGATTTCCCTATTCAGTGTCATTTAAATATCCTACCTTCTTTATTTTGGTTTGGTACTCTTTGTTGAACAGTCTGAGTTTTGGAGTGTTTAGTGTGACAGGCTGATATGAGCAAAGACGTCGATTGGTCACTACACTGAATTCTCCTCTCTTTTAGGTCATTGTAAGGATTACACTCACACACAATCTTGTGTGACTATTTCTGGCCAAAGAAATGTGAACAGAGGTTACAGTGGGATTCCTAGATTGAGGTAAATACTACTCTTGAGTGTAGAGCCCTCTGCCAACCAGTCCCCACGATCCCTGTTGTACTAAATCACTGAGAATGGAATAATTTTGTTAATTGCTACATAATCTAGTTAGTTCTGACAAATATAGTTGCTTCTGCAGTCCCTGTTCTCAGAGAAGAAATAGGATTGGGCTAAATATTTACATGACTATTTTCTTTATCATCATTGTTTCAAATCTGTGCTAGGATCTCTCTAAAATAGGCTTCCCCTCGCACCACCTACCCTAAGCACGGTAAAAATTAATTTAAGTATTTTTTTTAAATACTGCTTCTGTTTCTTTGAGTTTTCCTACACTGCTCTTCATCCTCATTCTCATCTATCATAATTTTTTATCTTTTGGGGATGTTTTAATCTCCTATCTCAAAAGTTTATTAAGCCCATTTCCCTTATCACATGTATGATGATCTGTATGTTAGCTCTGGTATCCAGGCCTTCAAATGAGATTTAAATTTGCTATGATTATTTTGCCAAAAGAGTAAACAAGTCTTTCTTTTTATTTTATTTTAAATTTTTTTTGGTTAATTTTAATGAAAGTTTACAGAGACTTTGGATTTCCATTTATTCATTGTTGCACTTTTCTCCCTGCCCAACCTCCCCACCTCCCTAGTTTGCTCTTCTCTTTGAAAAGTAAAAAAAAAATCTATCATTGTTATACAATCCCTCCTATCAAGTCCACTCCACTATGCAGCGTTCATTCTGGACTTCTGTCATGACAATAATACCTAATCAAATATCCCTTTTAAACACTTCCCTCTCTTATCTGTTTCAATGCGGTATACATAATTTACCCCATCTTTCTCAGTCTCCCACCAACCCCGATGTAAGCCCTGTTTTACAACAGCAGCACTATGCAGTGTTTGTCCTTTAGTGACAAATGTCCTTGAGTTATTTCATTCAGCATAATGTCCTCCAGGGCCACCCATTTTGAATAATATTTCATGAGTTCCTTGTCTTTCAATGCAGCATAGTATTCCATTGTGTGAATATACCACAGGTTCTCTATACTTTCTTTTGTTGATGGGCCAAACAAGTATTTCTTGTTTGGGAGTGCAAACGGTGTTCCTTACAGACAAAGATGGTGAAACTTTGTCTCACATATTTTGAGCAGGTTGTCAGGAGGAACTTGTCCTTGGGAAAGCACATCATGATGGGAAAGGTGGAGGGTCAGAGAATGAGAGGATCCTCAGTGAGATGGACTGACACAGAGACTGTAACAATGTACTTGAGCATGTCAGAGATGACAAGGATGGCACAGGATAGGGCAGGGTTCAGACCTGTTGTTCACAGGGTTCCTATGAGCCATAGTCAATCTGATGACAACTAACAACAGTATAATCATTTTGAGGTTCCTTGGACTGTTTAATTCTCTCACCTCTCAGGTGCCCCTCTGTGCTCACATTTCAGCTTGTTCTCACATTGGCTTTCTCTCTTGGCCTGACTAGGTTTGCTTACATCCTTTCCCAGCTGCTTAAACCATATCCTTTTCCTGGTTTCTGTAGCAGAACATTTGCAGGGGTGTCTCTGACTCTTCCGGACAGTATTTTGTATTCAGTATGTGTATGTTTTCAGCTTACTTATCTCCTGTCAACTTTTCCTTTATAGTAACTTATTCAGCTTTTAAGGAGAAGAGAAAGAGTTCTGTTGGCATAGTCTGTAGGGAGTTGAGCTGTTAACGCAAAGGTGGTGCATCTCAGGTAGTCTGAAATGACTAGCAGCTCTGTGGGAGAACTATGGGAAATTTCTTCCCTTGTAATTTACAGGCGGTTGCTGGAAGGAGCTATTCCTTGAAGAGAAACATGATGCTGGGAAGTGGGGGAGGGTTAGTGCAAGAGAGGAAGAACCTTAATCAGGTGGATTGACATGGTAACTGCCACAATGGGCTCTCCTGTGTCAGGAAGTGTGAGGATGGTACTGGATAGAATAGGCTTCAGATATTTTGTTCATCAGATCACTATACTTCATACTTGAATTGATGGCACCTAACAACAACAACAATTTACAGGTGTGAAACCCCATTGGTGGGAACCTGACAGTATTGACAGCAAGTGAAGGGAAAGGGAAATAATTTACCTCTTTCTTTCATAGATCTTATATATAGACGGCCCTTGACTTATGGTCCTTACCCTTTTAGGAGGCAAACTTCTTTCTTGTATCTCTGGTTGATGTGTATAGGTCAAGGGTCAAATTTCTTGAGTGGTTTCTATTATGGTAAGCATATACGTAATTACAGCTTGTTACACTGAGTAAGGAATCATTTATGACTTTTCTGGTTGAAAGAGGCAGAATTATTTAAAAGATGGCTATAACTTCAGAGAATTGTTGTCGCTATGTGCCATCAAGTCAGCTCCAACTCATAGCTTACCTTCCAAGGGCTTTCAGAGACAGTAAATCACATGTGAAGAGATTGCCCATGTTTCTCTGTCAGAGCACTTGATGGATTTGAACCACTTGACTTTCAGTTGGCAGCACAACTTCTTAAAACTAGGCCACCAGAGTTCCATAACTAAGAGAACTAGTGAGGCAGTCCTTAAAGTTTTCAGTTTACATAAAAAATACAAATACATATTTTATGTTGAAAAGTCACATACCTGGAAAGCTAAGTTGGCATTTTCATGCATTCCAAAAACTTCTGGGTCATCTATTAGAGGCAGCTTTTCAATATAGTCCTTAAAATCTTGTAAGCTGTCAGCCAGGGGTGCAAAATAGATTCCTATTATTAAAAAAAAGTAAATATGTAAATAGATTGGCTTTACACAGCTGTGCTTATTCCACATTCTCCTGGTTCTTATAGTGGTTGTAACCAGCTACCTTATGTAGGAGAGGGCATTGTTTTTCCTACAAGTCTCCTTGCTTTCACTGCTTTGTCATTTTTCCTTGATGCAGTGTTCCAACTTTAAATGTTGTTCCTCTTCTTATTATTAGATAGATGCTTTTGAGTCAAGGATTACTCATAGCGACCCTGTGAAAGGCAGATCTGAACCATGTCCTGTCCTAAGCCATCCTCATCATTTCTGCTACACTTGAGCCCACTGCTGCAGTCACTGTGTCAATCCCTCTCACTGAGGGGTTTCCTGTCTTATCCGAGAGATCAGGGCTCTGCTACTGTTATAAGCAATGTCTCATTTGTTGTTGTTGCTGTGTACCACTGAGTTGGAACTGACCCATAGCTCATTCTCTAGTGAGTTTTCAGAGGCAGTTAATAGCACAGGATGAGAATGCACATCTTTCTCCTGTTGAGTAGCTGGTAATTAGAACTGTGTACCTTTGCACTGATAGCACAATTCCTTACCGCAAGCCATCACAATGTGAAACTTTTTGCTGGACCAGGAGGCAGTCATCAGAACAGAGCACAAAAACACTGCATGGTTAAAAATGAGGAAAGTCCCCAACCAAAAGCTACATTTGCAAAAATCTGAAATCCAGTCAGGGATGAATCATGTCTCCATACCCTTTCCATCTATCTGTGAAATAGATCATTCAAGAGTCTGGTCATTGTGAGAAGGAATGTGGTGTCAGAACTGGAGAAAGACTCATTAACAGCTTGCATTATGCAGATGACACACTCTTGCTTCCTGAAACTGAGACCTTGAAGCATCTACTGCAGAAAGTCAAGGACTGTAGTCTTCAATTAAGGATTGAAGCTCAACATCAAGAGAACAAAGATTCTCACCACTGGGCCAATTGGCAGCATCATGATAGATAGAGTAGAGATTGAGATTGTTTACAATTTCAGTTTGCTTGGCTTCACAATCAACACTCTAGGAACCAGAAGACAGGAAATCAAAAGACGAATTGCATTGGGAAAGTCTGCTGTCAGTGACCTCTCTAGAGTGCTGAAGTGCAAAGATGTCAGTCTAGAGACTAAGGTATGCCTGATCCAGGCCATTGTCTTTACAATTACTTGTTATGTATCAGAGAGCTGGATAATAAATAAGGATGACAGAAAAGAATAGATGCCTTTGAACTGTGGTACTGGAGAAGAGTATTAAATATATCATAGACTGCCAAGAGAACAAACAGGTCTATCCTGAAGAGGGTGAACCCAAGTTACTTTCTGGAGGTGAGGATTTTTAAGTTCAATCTCACATACTTTGGATATGTTGCCAGGAGGGACCAGCTCTTGGAGAAGGACATCATGCTTGAAAGGGTGGAGGGACCCACAGGAGAGGAAGACCCTGGATGAGATGGATTGACACAGTGACTGGGGTAGTGAGGGCTGGTGTGTTGAAGACAGTGAGATTGACTCAGGATAGAAGAGAGTTCAAGAGCTATTGTGTATTTGGTCGCTATGAGTTGCAGGTGATTTGATGACATATAACTACCACCAGAACTTCCTATGCCTCATTGTTGTTGATGTTGCTATGTGCCACTGAGTCAGGACCAACCTATAGCTGACTCTCCAGCAAGTTTTCTAAGGAAGTAAATAGCATGGGAGGAGATTGACCAATTTTCTCCCATAAAGCTGCTGGTGGATTAGAACTTTGTGCCTTTAGGATTACAGTACAGCTTCTTAGCACTCAGCTATCAGAGCTCCCTAAGGGCTCCCACTTTATGCTGTGTTAGTGACTGCTTTCATGCTTGTTTCTCTCTTCAGTCCCCAACCAAAAGCTACATTTGCAAAACATTAAATCCAGTGTTTTTAAATTTTCCAAAGAGATTACAGGAGTTGAGTCTTATTAACTCTGAACATTGTCTCTTTCAAAAGGGGAGGAGGTGTTATGTGCTCATCGTGCATAAAATAATATTGCCTCTTCAAGATGGTTAGCACTTATGCATGTTTCTTATGCAGCTTACTGTAACGAAGCTCTCTTTAATTACATTACAGAGATAATTCAATTTTGAAAACACATTTCCAAAGAAAACAATCAACTTTAAAACTAAAATTCAAAGTTGTGACTTAACAGTACATATCCTTAATCGCTGTGAAGGTGGGCACACATGACAATGGGCTCCTGCTGGGGGCTGATGGTGAAGACTGGGCATAGACTAGATGGAAAAGTAACATTTGTGTCAACAGTTTTTGGCAAATGTCTTCTAAAAAAAGTTCTGAAAAGCCATTCACCTGATTCAGAGTATTTATAGTCTTGTTCTAATGTTTCAGGAGAAAAAAATTTTTTTAAGACAGTGTGAAGGCATCTTTGGTCCCAGGTGTCTGTAACTCTCCCACCGTATGTAATTTCACCTGAAAAAGAGTTTATACTTTAAGATAGTTTATTGTATGCTTTATTGATACACATACTCAAATTGATAAAATTAACTTCCTTGATGAAAAGTTTTCCAATTCCTCAGATATTGTTAGTTGGTCCCTATAAACTTCCATACACTTCTGCTTTATTGCTTATCTTAACAAATTCACCCATTCTCTTCCACTGAGCTTTTCATGAGCACAGAATATGCCCTCTGTGCATATCCAGTATCTATCATCATCATCATCATGATAATAAATGTTTATTTAATTAATCCATAAATGATTGTCTAAAATCTCACAAGAGGCTAGAAAGCATTGTGCTGAGTGGACTAACTCAGGCTCATAAGGACAAATATTGCATTAAGTCCATTATTATAAAAATAGACAACCAGTAAGATATGGATAAATATCCAAAGAGGGAAGAGGAAGGGAGATGAGAGTGGGAGGGGGGAGGAGAGAGGGGTTGAGGATAGGAAAAGACCTGAGGGTGGGGAGGGGGAGGGAAAGAGGGTAGGGAGAGGGTGACGGATGAGCATGGGGAAGGGGAGAGGCATGAGGATGGAGAGGGGAGGGAGAGGTTGAGGATGGGAAGGGAAGAGAGGAATGAGTGGGGAGGGGGAGGAAGGGGAGAGGGATGATGAGCGTGAGGAGGCGGGGAATCATGGGGTGTGAAGTAAAAAAATGTGCATGAATAATTGGATAGATAATCAAATTGCTTTGTTAACTTTCAAGCAAATTATAGTAATAATAAAAAAAGATAATAACATACAAACCCCTCACCATTAGCAAGTATCACCTCCTGAATAAAACACTACCACTTTCTACTCATTTGAGGTATTTAGAAGTTGTAAAATGCACATATAATTTATGTGCTTAATTAAACAACTTTTAACAGATTTATAAAGTTGTGCAAACACCACCTCAATTTAATTTTAAAATTAAATTCTATCACCTTAAATAGAAATTTTGTGTCCATTGGTGGCTCTTCCCTATTTCTAGCCCCCATCCAACATCAATATTCTTGCTCTATAGGTTTGGTTTTACAACATGTAGTCTTTTGTGTTCTGACTACTGCCTCTTGGTCCAAGTATAGGTTTCACATTAGCACGATTAAATGTTCTGGGATTCCCATTCTTCTCAGAGTCAGCCACAGTTTGTTATGATCCACGCAGTCAAATGCCTTTGCATAATCAATGAAACACAGATAGACAGATAGACAAGAGGCAGTAGTCAGAACAGAGCAGGGCAACACTGCATGGTTCAAAATTGGGAAGGGTGTACGCCAGGGATGTGTCCTGTGTCCATACGTTTTCAACCTGTATGCAGAGCAGATTATCCGAGAGGCAGGGCTCTATGAGAAGAAGCGTGGCGTTAGGATTGGTGGACGATCTATCAACAATCTGCGTTATGCAGATGACACAACCCTGCTTGCTGAAACTGAGGAGGACCTCATGCACTTACTGCAGAGGGTAAAGGACTGCAGCTTTCAATACAGACTGAGGCTCAATGTCCAGAAGACAAAAATTCTCACCACTGGACCAATCGGTAGCATCAAGATGGATGGTGAAGAGATTTAGATTGTTCACAGCTTCAGTTTGCTTGGCTCCATGGTCAACACTCTTGGCACCAGTAGCCAGGAAATAAAAAAACGTATTGCGATGGGAAAGTGTGCGGTTAGGGATCTCTCTAAAGTACTCAAGAGCAACGGTGTCTCTCTGGAGACTAAGGTGCGCCTGATACAGGCCATGGTTTTTGCTATCACTTGTTATGCATCAGAGAGTTGGACAATGACTAGGGGGGATAGAAGGAGAATTGACGCCTTTGAGCTGTGGTGCTGGAGAAGAGTACTGAATGTACTATGGACTGCCAAGAAAACAAATAGATTCATCCTAGAGAGGGTTAAACCAGGCTGCTCCTTGGAGGCAAGGATTCTGGGGCTTCGCCTGACATACTTTGGACATGTTGTAAGGAGAGACAGGTCTCTGGAGAGGGACATCATGCTGGGCAGAGTGGAGGGACAGCACAGGAGGGGAAGACCCTCTATGAGGTGGATTGATTCAGTGACTGGGGTAATCGGGATGGATGTGTCAGAAGCAGTGAGATTGGCACAGGATAGAGCAGGGTTTAGGGCTGTTGTACATAGGGTCGCTATGAGTCGCAAGGGACTCGAGGGCACATAACAACAACAACAACAACAACAACAGTCTTTTGCGTATTGCTGCTTCTACTTAGTGTGATATTTTAAAAGTTCATCCATATTGCAACATATATTAGTACTTTATTCCTGCTTATGACTGAATAATCTTTTGTTCAGACATTTAACAGTTGATTGGTATGTAGGTTTCTTCTCCTTTTTTACTATTGTGAATAATCTTGTCTTATCATCACAGAAGGGATGCCATCGTGCTGCACTGTCGACTCAAAGGCAGTCAGTTTGAATCCACCAGTTGCTCCATGGGAGAAAGATGGACAATCTCTTTTTGTGTTATTTACTGCCTCTAAAAACCTGCTGGATCGTCAGCTACAAGTCAGTTCAGATTCAATGGTATATAACAGCAACAGCAGCAGCAGCAACAGCAAAAATAACAATCTTCACAAAGGAGTTACCAGAAGTTGTAAGCACTACCAGAAAAGATATCTTCCTAGGGGTCAGGTGGGCATAAACAAACAACTCTGTGGTGTCCAGATGGAGGCAGTGGCCAGGTGGGAATACTGACCAGTGATGTAGATCAGGGCATGCCATGGGATCTTCCCTTCTTGACAGTAAAGGTTGAGGTTCAGCAAAGCACACTCTCTGTCACTGTCATTAAATTCATAGCAGATATTCCAACCAAGGGGCCCAAACTTTTTCCTCTCCTGAAACAGAAAAAGAAAATGATTTTAAATAAAACTTGACAAAGTGAATTTTTTATAAAAGCCTGAAAGTGTGAGAGTTTTGAGAGTTCCTTTTTTATACTTTAAGTCTGTAAAAGTCAACATTTGTTAGGCTTTCACCAGAAAGATAGAAATATATGTTTTTCTCATATTTTCCTCTCCTCTTTATTCCCAACAGAAAATGTGTAATTACTGGAAGTTTTATAGATTTAGTGGATAAAGAGCTGCACTACCAACCCAAAGGCATAGTGTGAATCCACCAGTAGCTCCTTGGGAGTTGGATGGACAAAATTCTCCCACAGGATTTACTGCCTCTCAAAAGCCACTGGAGGGCCAGCTATGAGTTGGTTCTAACTCGACAGCAGATAACATAGAAAGATACATTCATGGTAAAATAAAACAATACATTTTCTTATAAAATTTGGAGGGGACCCCCCAATTTCCAACCTTTTGACGTAAAAATACTGACACTGTAATTGTAGGGTGAGTTCCTTTCTGCCCACTAGTAAGAATTTCTTGTCATGTGATGTTATGCTGATTACATTCTAATTTCTCCATAGTAACATTTCAAAAACGGATAGAGTGGAAATCTTTGCCTCCTAATCTCCTACAGAATTGAGTACAACAGGGTTTCCAAGGCTGTAAATTTTATAGAAATAGTCAGCTCCACTCTTCTTCTGTGGAGAAAGCCATGCTCTTTACCCTGTACCACTAGGGCTCCTGCATCAGCCCTTGATCCACTTTAACGTCTCCATTCTGAACTGATGAACATTACCAAAATTTTGGCCCTATGTTCTCCCTTGATCTCAAAATAACCTCCAACCCCAAGAGGACGCCTCATCATCTCAGCTGCTTTATTAGTGGAATAAAGACCCTCCACCCATAATCCATGATCCCATCTTCTTGGAGCTTCCCTGGGATCTTGGCATGTAATGATTTCAGATCTTGTATCCTTAATTTTCCCCCTTCCTTTTACTGTTTCTTTCCTTTGGCATGCTTCAGAAAACTAGACATCATCCAGAGGTATGTATTCAGAGTCAGAATTCAAGCACAAGGCTGCAGAATGGAAACCAGAACAGAATGGCGAGGTTTCAACAGAGGTAAGGAGAAAGTGGTGCAGAGTTGAAGCTCATCTTTCTGGAGATTTGATGCTGTGGTGGTGGGAAAGGAGAGAGCCACAAAGAGTACAGAGCCACTAAAACAGGAACAGGTTCGAGTGACATTATTGCAAGAAAAAGAAAAATAAGGATGACTTGATGAATGACAAGATAGAGAGGTGTAAAGAAGGAAGAATAAAAAGATCTCTGAAGTTTTGATTGATGGTGACTGAGAAAAATTTTCAAAAATGAGAGCTGAGGGGAAGCAGGTTCTGGAGGAAGGCTGAGCTGAAACATCAGTTTGCACTTATGTTGTCCTCCTGTGTTTATCCAGGTGATGACGCTGTATAGGCATGTTTATCCAGTTGATGACTCTGTGTAGGCAGATATGAGAACAGAGGCAGCAGTGAAAGCTGTGAGGTGGAGAGGGAAAAGGGTCCAGAGATTGGCAATGATGTTGAAATATTTTGCTTTCAGACATAGAAGAAAACCCTCAGAGTTTCCCCAACTCCACTTACAACCTTTGTTTTTCTTCTTTTTCTAACAACAAAAGAACACACTTTCTTACTGCTATGAAAGAGAAGAATTGAGTATACCTGAATAATTGCGTGAAAGAAACAGATGCCAAATACTATTTGTCTCCATTTTCTTCCAAGGATATTTTCTTCAAAAAATGAAGGTGTCATTTCAGCGAATGCGCGCCTGATATTTGCACGTAAGCCTTTTGGTGGCTCATTAGTCACCTAGATATAGACAGAAGATCCATGGCAGGGAGTTGACAGATACACATTATTTCAAAATAACGCAACAGGGCCTGAGAGCCAGCAGTCATTGCCACCTCCCCTTTCTCTCTCCCGAGTACTGAAATAGTCCCCTAACTCTGCAAGAGGCCTGAGTCTCATCACCTGACATCTTTGTAACTTCCTTACAGAGTGTGATACCTCAGGCCTGTGGCCTACAGGATGGGCATACATGCAAAGCATGGGGAATTTTCCCTTTGCTTGCTGTCAGGTCTCATCTCTTATCCTGGCTACCCAGACCGCATGGTCATGTGCTAGTCTGAACCCACTGGATCACTTGATAGGCAATTACCTGCCATTGCTCAAACCTTTCATTCATTACCTTGACAGAATTCTGAAGAACGGTAACAGGAAATGTATTACTGGGCATGGAACTTAAAAACAGTCGAAAAGTGTCTTTGATGACTACATCTGTATAAAAAAAATGAAAACAAAACAACACAATGGTAAATTGCTTAACTCTTAGTAATATTTTTCTATAAGAAATATTTGTTATTGGGCAAGAAAAAGACGCAAAACTCTGTGTAAAGATCTACAGTATAAGCATGTGGTAAAATGTCCAAAAGTGCACACAGGGAGGTCTTTCTGAAAACTTTATTCACAACATAGGGTTTGGCAATCTAGAAGCTGGCACATTTCAGTAAAGAAACTGTTGTTGTTGCTATGTGTCATCGAACAAGACTCACAGTGACCATATTAACAACAGATTTGAACTCTGTCCAATCCTGAGCCATTCTCATCATCTCTGACACACTAGAGTTCATTACCATAGTTACGGTGTCAATCCATCTTGTTTATAGTCTTCCTCTCTTTCACTGACCCTTTACCTTTCCAAGTATGATATCCTTTCCCAAGGAATAGCTCCTTCTAACAACATGCTCAAAATATGAGAGACAAAGCTTTGCAGTTGACCCAATCTTGTGAGGAGGACTTGAGACACTCACTGCAAGATCAAGGACTATAGCCTTCAATGTGAATTACATCTCAATATCAAGAAAACAAAAATCCTCACCACTGGGACAATAGGCAAAATCATAATGTATGGAGAAAAGATTGTAAGTGATTTCATCTTACTGGGATTCACAATCACAGCCCTTGTTACCAGCAGTCAGGAGATCAGCACACGTATGGAACTGGTAAAATTTGTAGGGACCGCTCTAATGTCCTGAAAAGAAATTATATCAGTTTAAAGACTTAGGTGTGCTGGATTCAAACCATAATCATTCCGATCACCTGTGATGCATCTGAGAGCTGGACAATGAATAAGGATGACAGAAGAAGATGGATGTCTTTGAGTTGCGGTGTTGGTGAAGAGTACTAAATATCCCATGTACTGCCAAAAAAATCCAATAGATGTGTATTGTAGAAGGTGCAACAACAGTGCTCACTGGAGGCAAGAATAGTGAATAACTTAGGAGAAGTTATTCTTTGAAGAGGGACATTATGCTTGGTAAGGTGGAAGGTTAGTGAAGGAGAAGAAGCCCCTCAGTGAGATGGATTGGTACAGTGACTGCAGCAATGAGCTCAAGCATGTCAGGGATGATGAGGTTGGCAGAGAATAGAACAGAGTTTAGGTCTGTTGTTCATAGAGTTGCTATAAGTCACAGGGACTTGATGGCACCTAACAATAACAACAATAATAAGGTTTTGATTATTTTTATATAAATGGATTTTAACTTACTTCTCTCCTACTAGCTGTTAACTCAGCCATTTGGACAAGGTCCTGGTCTCTTTCCTGTCTGAGAAATTGAGCCAGGAGGGGATTCAGAAAAAGAAGGAGAAGAGGAGAGGGCGAGGATATGAGTATAATGCAGAGCCAAGAAGAAAGAATGAAGACAAGTCAGGGATGTGAATGAAAAGCTAGAAAGTTTATCAAGGCACAGTACATTAGAGAAATAAATGGGTCCCCTCCACAAGTAGAAAGCACTACATAGATTCTTAGGGTCCTGGTCTTTATATGACTTAGGTAAATACGTGTAAACTAGGGGAATGATATGCTTGCATTGCAGCTGAATATTCATCTGTCCCATGAAGGAGTGTGCTGGGGAGTATGAGGTACTGGATGTTTTGACCAAATATGGTCTGTTGGGTCCCAATTGATAAACTTTGTGGTGATTGTAACTGTCATGGTGCAAGTGGGAGTAAAAGTTAGTATTATAATGAGGAAAAGATAGATAACTTTTGGGTGCTTTCCTTATTTTTCTGGGCATGCACTACTTTGAAGAAGCCCCTGGGTTATAAAACGGATTATAAATGGAATGAAAGGTACCCTTTGCCAATGATGTAATCCCATTTATGTATTATGTTCCTACCCAGCCAAATGCTCCCTTCTTGATAGCCTAACTTTAAGTACCCTGATGGTCTTTCAGCCAGTCAATTATGGATTTTACCTCCTTTCTGTTTCCACTCCAATGGTTAAAGAACATACCATTTTTAGTTACCTGGTAGAGAAACCATTTTCACAAAATGGATGTTTTCCAGTATGCACTGTCTCTATTCTTCACAATTCTCTTGTGCTTTTATTTAAAAAGACTCTTTAATGTTACTATATGATATTCTGAATTCACATGACCTCCCATAGAAGGCAACACGAAACAAATGATAACAGTGAATCATAATCTCAGCTTGGAGTCTGGTGGTGTAAATTAACTTGAACCTGGTTGTGTAACATAACTAAACCTCTCAAAGTCTTAAATTTTTCTCTTTATTATGGGAAACATGATACCTACCACAAATATTTGTAGGTAACAAGGGTTAGATGCAAGAGCAATGCTATATAATATTGTAGGATAGCTGGGTCATATGGAACTCAAGATGGTTGGATTACACCCCAAGAGAATGAGAACTGAGGCATGAACAGAGATTTGTACGCCAATGTTCATAGCATTATTCACCATCACAAGAACATGGAAACAGCCCAAATGTCCAACCCAATCGAATGGATTGAGTAATATGGTACACGAAAATATTCACATGATGGAATACTATGCAATATATAGGAGTGATGATTTTGTAAATCACTACCTAACTTGAGAGGGACTGGAGAGAATTATGCTAAGAAAACTAACTTTGTCCCATAAGGACAAATACTCTATAAGACCTTCATTGGATAAATAGATAACTACTAAAACGTGTATGAGACTCTAAGGTAGAGAGGGTGGGAGCAGAGGGGTAGGTATGGTTGGGAGGGTAATCATAGTGTTGTAAAATTTGATGGGTGGAGGGAGGGGTGGGTTAAGGAAATGGGAAATTTCTCGTGTGAAAAACAATGTATTCTAACTTTGTAAAGAAACCAGTACAAAATAAAAATTTATATTTAAAAAAAATAAAAAAATTGAGGGAGCTTGGGTAGCTGAGTAGTAAGGAATTGCACTGCCAATTCAGATGCAAACAATTCAAATCATCACCTTCTCCAAGGGAGAAAGATAAGTAACCTCCTCCTGTGTGATTTATAGCCTTGAAAACCCACTGGAGTGTCAGCTATGAGTTGGTTCAGACTCAATGGCACATTAACAACAATAACATATAAAATTGTATTATTGTGCGAACATTAAGCACTCAACATACTTGGATCTGTGAAGGTTTTAATTAGCTCTTCCATTGCCAACATCCAAGAAACAGCGAGATGGCAGTTTTGCAAAAATACCCAGTTTCCTGTTTTCATTGCATCCTTGATCATTCTCTCAGCAATAGGTCCTTGTCCTTGTCCCAGTGAAATTGATTGCACTCTGAATTAAACATCAACAGTGTAAATATTAAGAAATATAAATATTTTAATAGGCTTTTGCCTGAAATATATATACATTCCTATAGCTCACAGTCTTATGCATATAGAGAATCATGCCATTGGAATAATGCTTACATACTGATGAAAATATTTTCTCTCTTATTTATGTAAAACATTTTTATTATAATACGTATACTGGAAAGTGCAAAAATAAAATATCCAGCTACATCAATGTTCACAAATGAACATCTGTGATTGAGAAGGTTTTTAAAAATCTTGAGGCACCTTCCATACCCAATTTCCAATTATTTCCCTTTTCTCTTTCCAAAGGATAACCATTAACCTGATTTCTGACAGTATTAATTTATTTTCCTAAAAAAATTGAAGACTAATATATGCACATGAAAAGTACACCGTTAGGGCACAATGTACTATAAGCATGGTAGTCAAAACAGCCTGGTAATAGTCCAATAACTGACACATAAACCAACAGAGCAGAATTGAGGATGCAGAAGTAAATTCATCTCCATGGACAGTTGATTTTTGACAATGAAATGAACCCTAGTTAGTGAGGAAAAGACAACCTCTTCTTTACCAAACAGTGCTGCCAAAATTGGATTATCTGTTGTGGAAAATGGAAAGAAAAATCATTACTTCACACCTAACTCAAACCCAATGAAGAACTCATTTGTAAAACCTGAAGCTATTAGAATCATAAAAGGAAAATAGAAGTCAATTTAAGAACCATAATCTATGTCATTCCCTGGAAGAAAAATAGGCATTCTCCTGATGTGCCATTTATTGCCTCTAAAAATCTACTGGAGGGTCAGCTATGAGTCAATTCTGACTCAACTGTATACAACAACAATCTATGGGATAAATGAACTGTCGACCATAACTAAGAACCTACAGATTAGTAACAACATGTCCTACAAAGGTCTAATATAAAAAAATGTATATAAACACTGCATTGGAATAGGTGAAGGGAAGAACTATCTGACAGAAATGGACAATTATACAGAATATGTATTGTTGTTGTTGGTTGCCTTTGAGTGGAGCATTACTCATAGTGACCCTATGAACAAAAGGTCTGAAACCCCTCTACAATTATCGACATTTATCAAAGTTCATAGAGTTTCTGGAGGCAAGTTGTTTAGGAAGTGGATGACTAAGGATGACAGAAGAAGAATAGAGGCCTTTGAGTTGTGGTGCTGGAGAAGAGTCTTGGACATACCATGGACTGCCAAGAAAACAAATAGGAGAGGGTGAAACCAACTCTCTCCTTGGAGGCTAGGATTTTGAAGCTCCGTCTCATTTACTTTGGGCACGTGGCCAGGAGAGATCGGTCCTTGGAGAAGGACATCATGCTCAGAACGGTGGAAGGAGAGCGCAGGAGAGGGAGACCCTGGATGCGATGGATTGATACTGTATCTGGGGCAATGGGAGGTGGTGTGTCATAATCAGTGAGACTGGCTCAGGACAGGAAAGGGTTCAGAGGTGCTGTACATAGGGTCGCTATACATCAGAGACTCAAGTACATGTATTACAGTTAATAATCTAGAACAGGAAAAGCATTACAAAGCGAATTGAAAGAGTGAGTGAAAACCAATCTCCTCATAAATTTACACTAAAATCACAACCAAAAAAAATGGAAAAAAAAATGTATAGAAAACTCTTCATCAAGGAAAAGACAACTCAGCTGTCGAAGGGCATGAGAAGACATTTTACTAGAGAAGATATTCAAATGGCCAACATATATGGGAAAAAATGCTCAAGATCATTACCTACTGTTGCTGTTAGGTATCATTTAATCACCTATGACTCATAGCAACCCTATGAACAGAGATCTGAATCTTGATATCTTGTGCCATCCTCATAATCTCGGATATGCTTGAGCCCATTGTTAACAGTTATTGTATCAACTACCCATCTTGTTGATTGCCCTCTCTTTCGCTGACCCTCCATGTTTTCATGCATGATGGCCTTTTTTCCAAGGATCCAGCCCTCCTAACAACATGCCCACAAAATGTGAGATGAAACTTCACCATCTTTGACTAGAAAGAACACTCTGGCTTCACTTTCTAATAGCCACATTTGTTTTTCCTTTTGGCAGTCCATGGGATAGTCAGTATTCTTCTACAACACCACAACAAAAGGCATCAATTCTTCTATCATCCTCATTCATTGTCCAACTTTCAGATGCATAGGAAGCAAATGAAAAACACCGTGGCTTGAATCGAACCACCAGAGAAGTGCAACCTTTGAGTTAATAGTAAAATTCTCTACCAACTATGCCAGAGAGCTCCCTAGTGAAGTATTGCTAGAACTCTCCTAATCACTATTCTTCCTCATTATGTAATGTAAAACTTTTAAATTATAACATCATCAATTTTATAACATCATTAATTTTACTGGGTTTTGTGATTCACAGAAATGGAATTGTACTGTGTATTTGGTCTATTTTAATCAATATGTTTTTGAGGTTTATTCATGCTATTTTTAATAATATTTAGTCATTTTTTTATTGCAGGAGAAAGATGGACAATTTCTTCTCATGTGGTTTATAACCTCTGAAAACCCTCTGGAGCATCAGCTATGAGTTGGTTTTGACTTGATGGTAATGAATTGAGTTGAGTTAATAATAATATTACATTATGAATATGTCACAATTTATTCAGTCATTTGGTTTTGAAGGAGCTATTGCTTTGATTTTAAAGTTTTTTATAGTTATTGTTGTTATTTGCCATTGAGTTGGAACCAACCCATAGCTGACCCTCCAGAGAGGGCTTTCAGAAGCAGTAAATCACATGGGAGGAGATTAACCATCTTTCTCTCTCAGAAAGCAGCTGGTGGATTTGAACTGCAAGCTTTTGGGTTGGCAAAAAAAAGCTTTCTAGCTTTTCATTCACATCCCTGACTTGTCTTTATTCTTTCTTCTTGGCTCTGCACTATACTCATATTTTCGCCCTCTCCTCTTCTCCTTCTCCTTCTTCTGGATCCCCTCCTGGCTCAATTTCTCAGACAGGAAAGAGAACAGGACCTTGTCCAAATGGCCAAGATAACACTAGGTCACCAGGGCTCTCCAAAAGTTTTAAAGTTTTCTTGTTGTTGTTGTTGTTGTTAAATGCTGTTGAGTTGTAAGCAACTCACAGCGACCCTATGAATGAAAGTCCTCAACACTTGTGTGACTTTCATCCTTTCTCCAGGTTCATAGGGTTTCCGGAGGCAAGCTATTATGGAAGTGGATGACACTCCTGCTTCCAAGCTTGTTCTTACAAACCCAAATATTCATTTTAAAGATATCCGTAAGCAAATTGAATCAGGTATTTTCATTTCACCCACAGTTAGAAATGTTTTTGTTTCCCTGTTCAAATCTAGGTTTACTAAATTTGAATTTCAAAAGATATGACTGAGTGGAGGTATAGAAAGCATCCTGTGATCTGCAAGCAGGCTGGCAGAACTTAATCAATCATGTTCAAATTAGCCAATGGCTGATCTTTTATGGTTTATCATCTTTACTTTTTATAAGCTTTTCCAAGCCATTTGCTTTTTTAAAAAGTCTTTTTTTTAGTAATTGCGATTTGAGTGAACATTTACAGAGCAAATTGGCTTTCCCCTACTCATGCACATTTTGTTTTCTAATATTAATAATAATGCCCACAATGTAATCACACTCTTCTCACTTTCTATTCCTTTTATTGTACCCCTTCTTGCTGTAAAGAGTGAGTGCCTCTCTGGAGTACTGGCCACTTTACAGACTGATCTATTATTTGGCTAAAAAGCTCTTGTAAATACCAATCCCATTCTTCAACAAGATGGAAAAGGTAATTTCCAGCTTCATTTGGAATGGAAAGAAGCCCTGAATAAGCAAAGCACTCCTTAAAATAGAAAAAAGGTAGGAGGCATCTCACTCCCTGATTTAAAATCCTACTACAGTGCCGTGGTAGTTAAGACAACATGGTACTGGTACAATGAGAGACACATCGATCAATGGTATAGAATTGAGAACCTGGAAATCTGCCCATCTATTTATGGTCAACTGATTTTTGATAAGGAGATGAAATCAGTTAGGTGGGGACGCGACAACCTTTTTAACAAATGGTGTTGGCAAAATTGGAAAACTATCTGCAGAAGACTCAGGCAAGATCCACACCTCACTCCATATTAAAAAAAACTAACTCAAGGTGGATCATGGACCTAGGACTAAAACCAAGGACTATAAACTTCATTAAAGAAAAGCTTGGAAGAATTTTAGTAGTCCTAATCCACAACATAAACAGTCTGCCAAATATGCTGAAAAATCTACAACCAGGAGAAAATAAAATCAATGAATGGGACCGTCTAAGAATCAAACCCCTACGCACATCCAAAAATTTCTCCAACAGGGTAAAAAGGGAAGCCACAGACTGGGAAAAAGTATTTGGTAATACTTATATCTAGAATTTATAAAATACTTGAGCACCACAAGAAGATAAAGGTAAACAATCCAGTGGAAAAATGGGCACAGGATTTGAACAGACACTTCACCAAAGATGACATTCAGATGGCCAACAAGCACACGAAGAAATGTTCAAAATCCCTAGCTCTAAGAGAGATGTAAATCAAGACAACTATGCAACAAAATGTGGAAACTTCAGAACAATCTCACTGATTTCACATGCAAGCAAGATTTTACTGAAGATTATCCAAAAA